TTTAGGGTTTAGGGTTTAGGGTTTAGGGTTTGGGGTTTGGGGCGGGGGAGGGGTGGGCGGGGGCGCGGGCGGCTTCTTCCGCCGCGGTGAAGGGGCAGCGCCCGCTGCCGCGAGTCTAGGGTTTACGGTCTAGGGTTTAGGGTTTAGGGTTTAGGGTTTAGGGTTTAGGGTTTAGGGTTTAGGGTTTGGTCAGGTGCGGGCGCTGGTGACGCGCGCGGAGGCGGTGGCGGAGGGTTTGCTGCGGCGGCACTGGGGCTCCGTCTGCACTTTGGCAGCAGCTCTTTTGGAAAAAGAAACTTTAATGGGAGAAGAAATTGCAAACTTAATCGACCCCAAAGGAAAATGGAGAAAAAAGATCCAAAGAGACAAACACCTCGCCCTCCTCACGGCCCAGGAGACCGTCAGGGGCCCCTGGGGGCCCCTCTTGGGGCCCCCCATCGCTCGCCTCAGGGCTTTCTGGCAAAGGCTTACCCGCACGGCCCCGGGGGGCCCCCAGGGGGGCCCCCAGGGGGGCCCCCAGGGGGGCCCCCAGGGGGGGCCCCCAGGGGGCCCCCTGGGGGGCGCCGCAGGGGGCTCTCCAGGGGGGGCCCTTGAGGAGGAGGGCCAGGAGCGGGGGGAAAAGGAAAAGGACCTGCGAGGCAAGCAAAGCAGCAAAAGCAGCAGCAGCAGCAGCAGCAGCAGCAGCAGCAGCAGCGAGATGAGCAGCACCGAGGACAGCAGCAGCGACAAGGATAGCTGCAGCAGCACCGAGGATGCCAGCAGCAGCAGCAGCAAGATGAGCAGCGCCGAGGCTCAGACAGAAGAGCAGGAGACAGGTGGAGCTGCTGCTCCGCAGCAGCAGCAGCAGCAGCAGGAGCAGCAGCAACGAAACGTCGAAGAGATAAATCGCAGCAGCAGCAGCAGCAGCAGCAGCAGCAGCAGCAGCAGCAGCAGCAAATACGACGCAGAGGAGCTGGTAGAGCCTGTTGACCTCCCCTCCGTTCCCGCTGAAGACCAGGCGGCGCTGCAGCAGCTGCAGCAGCGCTTACTGCAGCAGCTGCAACAGCTGCAACACAGCAGCAGCAGCAGCAGCAGCAGCAGCAGCAGCAGCAGTAGACTCTACACCCTCGCTGACGAGCCCCTTTTCGCCGGTTTAGGGCCAGAGCTACATCAGCAGCAGCAGCAGCAGCAGCAGCAGCAGCCAGTGCAGGAGCCGCTGCAGCAGCAGCAGCTGCTGCTGGCGCAGCAGCCATATGTTACTGAGGCGAAGCCACACCAAACTGATGTGGAGTTGTAGGCTAAACCCTAAACCCTAAACCCTAAACCATCGCAGGGAAAGGGCCCCGGCCAGAGTCTGACAAACGGAAGCCTCTTAAGTGGCTAGCTAGCTGCTCCATCAGCTAGCTGCCCACGAGCTAGCCACGAGCTAGCCACCAGCCAGCCAGCTGGCCAACTAGCTAGCTAGATAGCTAGCTAGCAGCCAGCTAGCTGGCCAGCTAGCCAGCTAGCCACCCAGCTATCCAGCCAGCCACTCAGCTAGCCACTTAGCTAGCTAGCTAGCTAGCTAGCTCGCTAGCCGGCTCGCCCGCTAGCTAGCTGGCAGTAGTGACGTGCTGGACTGCCTTTGTCCCCTCTGTGAAGAGGCCACCCAAACCCTAAACCCTAAACCCTAAACCCTAGGTGCCCAGGGCCAGAAGCGAAGTGCAGCAGCAGCAGCAAAATGGAAGCAAAAGGTCCTTTGGAGCTTCCCGGGCAGCATAAGACTAGAGATAAGTGCAGGAAATACCATTTTAATTGTACTTTTTGGATATATTGCAAACTAAATGACAAATGCTCTCCATTATATTCATAATTGGAGCATTTTGCATTTAAAAAGCTGCAATTGGAGTCAAAAATGGCCAAAAGTTCGCCGAGAAATCCGCAAATGGATTCGGCCGTTTGCGGTGTATGTACAGCGGCGGGTGCACATACACCTCGGGTGTACAGACACCGCAATTTAAATAAATAAATTTATTTAAATAAATTTATTTATTTAAATTTATTTAAATAAATAAATTTAAATAAATTAAAGCATTTGAAAACAATTTAAATTGAATATGCGGGCCGCGGCAAAAGCTCTGGTGTACGTACACCCCAATGCCACAGCGCAGCAGTTCCCTCTGGAATATTTTTGCAGATTTTTAATTAAAATTTGAATTAGTTTTATTTTATTTTTATTTTGAATTAGTTTTATTTTATTTTCATTTTAAATTAGCATTATTTTATTTAATTTCTTTTTATTCATTGACTCAGCTCGACCTGCTGCTGCGCTGCTGCAGATGATACATTAAAGCAAGTTCAATAGCAGCAGCAGCAGCAGCAGCAGCAGCAACAGCAGCAGCAAATTCAAGTTGTGTGAGAATTGAATTGGCTGCTGCTGCTGCAGCAGCTGACTCGGCTTGAAGAATAATTGAATTTGCTGCTGCTGCTGCTGCAGCAGCTGACTCGGCTTGAAGAAGAATTGAATTTGCTGCTGCTGCTGCTGCTGCTGCTGCTGCAGCGGCTAATTGGACTTGAAGCAGAATTGAATTAGCTGCTGCTGCGGCAGCAGCTACTTGGACTTCGAGAAGAACTGAATTAGCTGCTGCAGCAGCAGCAGCTAATTCTGCTCGGAGCAGAATTGAATTGGCTGCTGCAGCAGCAGCAGCTAGTTCAATTCTGCTGCAGCAGCAGCAGCTGCTGCTTGGCCTTGAAGAAGTGAATTAGCAGCAGCAGCAGCTTTGAAGCAATTAGCTGCTGCAGCGGCAGCAGCTAATTGGCCTTGAAGAAGAACTGAATTAGCTGCAGCAGCAGCAGCAGCTAATTCTGCTTGGAGAAGAAATGAATTAGCTGCTGCTGCTGCAGCAGCTACTTGGCCTTGAAGACGAACTGAATAAGCTGCTGCAGCAGCAGCAGCAGCAAACTCAGTTCTTGAAGAAGAACTGAATGAGCTGCTGCTGCTGCAGCAGCAGCAAACTCAGTTCTTGAAGAAGATCTGAATAAGCTGCTGCTGCAGCAGCAGCAACCTCAACCCCGGAAGAAGAACTGAATAAGCTGCTGCTGCTGCTGCAGCAGCAGCAGCAGCAGCAGCAAACTCAGTTCTTGAAGAAGAACTGAATGAGCTGCTGCTGCAGCAGCAGCGGCTGCTCCTTGTGGGGGCTGTGTCCCGCGTCTTTAATGACTTCAATTTTTGCTTTTGGAAAAAAAGAAAGAATTTGATTTGTGTCTCTTTTTAAATCAACCCAAGGGGAATTGGAGCCTTTAAACAGTAGCACGGGGCCCCCAAAGCACCAGCTGCTGCTGCTGCTGCTGCTGCTGCTGCTGCTGCTGCTGCTGCTGCTGGGGGCCTCGGGGGGCCCCCAGCAGAGCTCGCGGCGCTGCAGCGCGCGGCTGAGGGGCCCCACAGCCATGCGCCACTGCAGGGGGCCCCCCGGGACAGTTTGCTGCAGCTGCTGCAGCAGGAAGGCTCCGTCTTCGTCGGAGATGGAGGGCTGCTGCTGCTGCAGCAGCAGCAGCGCAGCAGCAGGAGACTGCAGCCCCCTGAGGTCCAGCGCAGCAAGGGCCTGCAGCAGCAGCACAATGTCCAGGGCCCCCGCCACCGGAGGCAGCTGCTGCTGCTGCTCAAAGTAATTAATGGGCGAAATATCTATTACGCAGAGGCCCCCAACTAAACCCTGGGGGGCCCCCAAAGCAGCACACATGCAGACTTGGCCGCCGAGGCTGTGGCCCAGCAGCAGCACGTTCGCGAGCTGCTGCTGCTGCAGCAGCTGCAGCAGCGCAGCAGCCATCCCGGGCACCGTCAGGGGCCCCTGGGGGGCCCCCGAACCCCCGTGGCCCGGCAAGTCCACCAAATAAACCTTCAAGACCCTCCCGGGAGGCAGCAGGGCCTCGAGGCCTTTGCAGAAGTCCCTCAAAGAGCTGCGGTCGCCCAGCATGCCGTGCACAGCCACCAGCGCAGCAGGCGCAGCAGCAGCAGCAGCAGCAGCAGCAGCAGCGGCGGACGCGGCGGGCGGCCCGCACAGCACCAGACGGTCGAATGCCAGCATTTTAATGCTTAATGGTATTTAAATGCACTTTTATTCACTAATTTGTTCAGAAGGAAAAGTAAAAACCGGAAAAACGCCGCGGAAGCGCCGGCGGCAGCGACGCCAGTTGAGGTGTATGGACAGCTCCGCGCTGCAGTCCTAGGAACACATGCGCCGAAAGCCGTTTGGCATTTTATTTTTCGGAATTTAAATAATTAAAATTATATTTAATGGAATTAAATTCAAAAAGATTTAATTTAAATGCATTGCAGCCGCAGTTGCCGCTCCCGCGATGCTGGACTGCCAACTCTCGAGTTGCCGCCGCTGCGGGGCCTCCAGCAGCTCCGGGGAGTTTCTTTGCTTTTTGCAATTTCTTTCTCACTTAATTTAATTTATTTCATTTATTTTATTTTATTTTATTCATTTTGCATTTATTTCATCTTTTTGCGAAGCAGGCGGGGTCTTCCGCCTCTGCTTTCGCGCTGGTCCACCACGCGGCAGCCCGACAAACCCTAAACCCTAAACCCTAAACCCTAAACCCTAAACCCTAACTTCCTAGGCAAGTTAAACCCGTGTGCTGAACCATATTTGATTCAAAAGCAGCCGGAGGGGCTAAATATAGCTGCTCTTTAAGCCCGAGTTACAGAACGAGAATTTGGGCTTCAGGGTTTAGGGTTTAGGGTTTAGGGTTTAGGGTTTAGGGTTTGAATCTGCAAGACAAGCATCGACGCAGCGACGGCACTGCTGCTTAGCTGCTTGGTCACTTGCGTTGCCAGCCGTGGCTAGCTGTGATTAGCTATGGCTAGCTATGGCTAGCTGCGGCTAGCTATGCCTAGCCATGAATAGCTGTGGCTAGCTGTGGCTAGCTGTGGCTAGCTCTGGATAGTTGTGGCCAGTTCTGGCTAGCTGTGGCTAGCTGTGGCTAGCTGTGGCTAGCTGTAGCTAGCTGTGGCTAGCCGTGGCTAGCTGTGGCTAGCTGTAGCTAGCTGTAGCTAGCTTCAGCTAGCTGTAGCTAGCTGTAGCTAGCTGTGGCTGGCTGTAGCTAGCTGTAGCTAGCTGTGACTAGCTGTAGCTAGCTGTAGCTAGCTGTGGCTAGTCACCAGCCCACCAGCAGAAAAGGCACTTTCGAGGAAAAGCATTTGATGTATTTTAAAGGCGAAGAGAGAAATGAAGTCTGAGGTGTCTGTACACCTCAGGTGTCTGTACACCTCAGGTGTCTGTACACCTCGCGGAGGCACTCCCGAGTTTCGTTTGATTTGATTTTCATTTAATTCAATTTAATTTCATTATTTGTTTAATTATATTGTTGTTTAGGGTTTAGGGTTTTTAATTGCAAGTTGAATTATCAAATCAAATTAAAAAAGCAAAATGACATTCTTTTTAATTCAATTTAATTTAATTGTTTTTAATTGCAATTTAAATTATCAAATTAAATTAAAAAACAAAATGACATTTCCCAAAAAAGGAAAAATGCAATAGCGAAGGAAAGGAGGGATAAGCAAAAACTGCAAAACAAATTTACTTTTAATAAATAAATTAATAAACAAATAAACTAATTAATTATTTAATTGTTTGAAATGTTAATTAATCAATTAATTACTTTATTAGTCAATTAACTAAGCAATTAACTAATTAGTTAATCAATTAATTAGTCAATTAATTAATTAATTAGTCAATTAATCAGTTGACTAATTAATTAATTAATTAGTCAATTAATTACTTGACAACAATTAATTATTTATTAAATAGTCTATTGATTAATTAATTAATTAATTAATTAATTAATTAATTAATTAATTAATTAATTGATTAATTAATTAATTAATTAATTATTAGTTAGTAATTAATTAATCAATTATTAATTAAGTTATAAAAGTCAAAAAACAAATATGTGAATAGCCCAGCTCCAGGAACGAAAGAGATATCTCAGACGCTAAACCCTAAACCCTAAACCCTAAACCCTAAACCCTAAACACTAAACCCTAAACCCTAAACCCTAAACCCTAAATTGAAGGTCCTAGTGTTTCGGCAGCAGGCGTCTGCTGCTCCAGCAGTACGTACACCTGATCTTCTACACGTCAAAGGGCTACGGGTTTAGAAATTAGGGTTTGTGGTTTAGGGTTTAGGGTTTAGGGTTTGTGGTTTAGGGTTTAGAGTCTAGAACCTAGGGTCTGGAGTTTCCTTTGGCTCGCAGTGGCTCAACCCCAGCAGCAGCAGCAGCAGCAGCAGCAGCAGCAGCAGCAGCAGCTTGATTAGAGAAGGACACAAGGAAAGAAAAACAACAAATTAAATTTAAAAATCTAAAATAAATAAATAAATAAATAAATAAAATAAATAAATAAATAAATAGATAAAAATAAAAAGAACTAAACCCTCAGTGCTCGCCAGCCAAAAGGGTCACTTGGGGCCCCCGGCAGCAGGGGAGAGAGTTTGCTGCTTTGTTTGGATTTAAATTAAAATAAATTAAATTAAAATAAAATAAATAAATTAAATAAAATAAATAAAATAAATAAATTCATTTATTCATTCTTTTATGCTTTCTGCTCCTTAAACCAAGAAAAAAGAATGCATGCTTGCGAAGCTGCCGCGTGCAAGGACTAAACCCTAAACCCTAAACCCTAAACCCTAAACCCTACGCCTCAGAGTCGAAGCCGCGAGACTCTATTTCAAACCCTGCCGCGCGGAGACAATGTAAAAGACCCATTTAGTGTGCAGTTTGGCCTGCTGCTCCGGAATTAGGGTTTAGGGTTTAGGGTTTAGGGTTTAGGGTTTCTGTTTCTGTGCTCTCGGGCGCCAGCCCCATGCCTCTCTGCGGCCGCACGCTTTGCCCAGCGCCCCTCATGGGGGCCCCAGGGGGCCCCCCGGGGGGCCCCCCGGGGCCCTCCCTGCTGGCTGGAGGCCCCCAGAGTGTGGGGACTCTGTGTCTCAGTGCATAAATGCAGACCCAAAAAGTTTCCTGGAAGCAGCAAATGAATACAACAGAGACAAAAGAGTACCTTTAGACATCAGCAGCAAACAAGACCCTCCCCCTCTGCCCTTTGTGCCAGCAGTTGCTGCAGTGGGGGCCCCCCAGGGGGCCCCCCAGGGGGCCCCCCTGGGGGCCCCCCAGGGGGCCCCCCTGGGGGCCCCCCCGGGGGCCTCCCTGGGGGGCCCCCCGGGGGCCTCCCTGGGGGGCCCCCCGGGGAGCCCCTGCGAAGGGCCCCCAGGGGGCCCCCAAGGCGCACTGGCCGCAGGGAAGGGGGGCCCCCAGGGGGGGCCCCCCCTGTGTCTGGGGGCCCCCGAGAGTTTTGTTGCTGCGCTGCTGCGGGACCAGGAAGAAAGGGTTTACAGCAGCAGCAAAAAGATGCCCTTGGGAAGAGCTGGCGAGGGTTTAAACCCTAAACACTCAAATAGGGTTTGCTGCGGAATCAAACAAACCCCAGATGAAGACGCACAAGCTAAGAAGTGCATATGGCCAGAAACAGCGGGGGGCCCCCTGGGGGGCCCCCTGGGGAGGGCCCCAACACTAAACTCACGCTGCAGCAGCTGCAGCAAAAAAGAAAAGAAGAGAAGCTTGCTGTTGCTTCTTTCTTTGCTGCGAAATGTACCTGGGGGGGGCCCCCCAAGTTGGGGGGCCCCCCTGCCTGGTGGGGGCCCCCCTGTGGGGCCCCCGAGGGCCAAGTAAACCCTATTAAGAAAGGAAGGGGGGCCCCCGGGGGGCCCCCCGAGGGCTTTTGCTTCGGAAGCCGCACTCAGAAGGACTCGGAATCTGTTGCTACGTGCATGCAGCACCCACAAGACCAGCAGCAGCAGCAGCAGCAGCAGCAGCAGCAGCAGCAGCAGCAGCAGCAAATGGAACATGTGAAGGCCCAAAAAGAAGACCATCTGTGGAATCTCATGAACCCTCCCAGCCGCTGGCAGCCCTGGCTGCAGCAGCAGGGGCCCCACACCGAAGTACCCTCTTGGGGCCCTTTGGAGGCCCCCGGGGGGGCCCCCCAGGGGGCCCCCAAGGGGGCCCCCCAGGGGGCCCCCCGGGGGGCCCCCCACGGGGGCCCCCAATTGACGCGGCAGCAGCTGTGGACTTTGGTTTCTGAACCCACTGTTTTGCTGCCAGAGCCAGAGTTTGATGCTGCTTTTGCTGCAGCACTTGAGCAGCAGCAGCAGCAGCAGCAAGACCAGCTGCAGCAAGAACAGCAGCAGCAGCAGCAGCAAGGACAGCAACAGCAGCAACCGGAAAAGCAGCAGCAGCTGGAAAACGAGCAGCAGCAGCAAGAAGAAAAGCAGCAGCAGCAAGAAAAGCAGCAGCAACAGCAACAGGACATGCAGCAGCAACAGCAGCAAGAAAAGCAGCAGCAGCAGCAGCAGCAGCAGCAGCAGCAGCAGCAGCAGCAAGAAGAGACGGTGTCCGTGTCTCTGTTTATGTCTGCTTTTCGAAAAGCCGTGGAAGCAAAAGCAGCAAAAGAAAAAGGGCCCCTTGAGATTCCGCCGTCTGTGAAGATGTATCTAAACCCTAAACCCTCAACCCTAAACCCTAGAACCAAAACCCTAAACCCTAATTGCAAAACCCTAAACCCTAATTGCAAAACCCTAAACCCTCAGCTAAAGAGCCAAACCACCCTCCGCACCCTTCCGCCGCACCTCGAGCAGCTGCTTGGGGGAAGCCGCTGAATCCAAGGGTCTAGGGTTTAGGGTTTAGGGCTAGGGTTTAGGGTTTAGGGTTTGGGAAGCAGCAGCAGCAGTTCGGACCACCGCCACAGCCAACAGAGGCCCCCCTGTGGCGGGTCTAGGGTTTAGGGTTTGGGCCCCCAAAGGGAGCCCCTGGGGCCCCTAAAGGGGGCCCCTGGGGCCCCTAAAGGGGGCCCCTGGGGCCCCTAAAGGGGGCCCCGGAGGCCCCTAAAGGAGGCCCCAGGGGCCCCCAAATAGACCTCTAGGGGGCCCCCAAAGGGACCCTCGGGGGCCCCAAGGAGGCCCTAAAAGGGGCCCCATGGGCCCCCCAGGAGTCCCACTACAGGGGTTTGAAGGGGCCCCCAGTACCCCTGAGGGTACTGGGGGCCCCTAGCTTTTCGTGGGGCCCCTTGGGGGCCCTTGGAGGCCTCTAGGGGGCCCCCAGGGGCCCCCAGGGGGCCCCTGGGGCCTCTGGGGGGGCCCCGGGGGGCCCCCAAGTTGCTGCTGCCACGTGGGGGCCCCCGAAGACTCAGTGGGTCCTAGGGGGCCCCACTGAGGGGCCCCAAGGGCCTTAAGGGGCCCTGGGGGCCCCCAGGGGCCCCCAGGGGCCCCCAGAGCTCTGGAGGCCTTTGAGGCAGCAAGGGGGGCCCCCGGGGGGCCCCCGGAACTTCGTACCCTTAGAAGAAAAGCAAAAAAATATAAATTGATTTTAATTTAAAATAAATTAAATTAAAAAATAAAAAAGGAAAACAACAGAAGGATTACGGGGGTCTTGTGCTAGCCAGGGGCCCCAGCTGGGGGCCCGCGAGTTCAGCAGCAGCAGCAGCAGCAGCAGCAGCAGCAGCTGCAGCAGCAGCAGCAGCAGCCCATCAGCCTGCTGCAGTGTTTGC